ACTCCAACCGTCTCCGCCGTTTATCAGCATAACTCTTCTGTCGGTCCCGAACAGCCTTCAGTCTATCCCGAATGATCCTCACCTTGGCCTTGGTGATCTCAACCAGCTCTATCCCTTCGAGTTTGGCCTCGCCAACCTCGTCCCAACACAAAGGTGTTCTGCATTTCCTCCCATACAATGCCTCATATGGAGGCATGCCGATACTTGCTTGATAACTGTTGTTATAAGCAAACTCCACTAGGGCCAAATGCTTGTCCCAACTTCCTTGGAACTCCAGCGCACATGCCCTAAGCATGTCTTCCAAAATCTGTATCACCCGTTCGGACTGTCCATCCGTCTGTGGGTGAAAGGATGTGCTAAACTTCAGTTTAGTACCCAACGATGCTTGAAACTTTGGCCAAAATCGGGATGTGAATCGTGGATCCCCATCCGACACAATGGATATTGAGACTCCATGTAATCTCACAATCTCCTCCGTGTATAGCTTGGCCAATCTTTCAAGAGGATAAGTAATGTTGATAGGCAGAAAGTGTGCACTCTTGGTGAGTCCATCAACCAATACCCATACTGCATCGTAGTTGTTCACTGTTCGTGGCAGCCCCACCACGAAGTCCATGGTCACATGTTCCCACTTCCATTCTGGGATGGTGAGTGGCTGCAAGAGCCCTGCTGGGTGCTGATGCTCTGCCTTAACTTGCCGCCAAGTAAGGCATCGACTCACATACTCTGCGATATCTCTCTTCATACCTGACTACCAGTAACTTTCCTTCATATCTCGGTACATCTTAGTACCTCCTGGATGCATAGCATATGCTGAAGAATGAGCCTCCTCAAGTATAGACTTCTGGAGCTCCTCATTCTTTGGTATGCACACACGATCCTTAAATAATAAAAGACCGTCATCACGTACCCGAAAATTCTCAACGGGCCCCTCAAGGATCCGTTCGCGGATCTTCTGACATTCCTCATCAATGGCCTGACATCTACTGATCTCACCCAGCAATGTAGGCCTCACCTCGAACCTAGCAATGAGCGCCCCGGTCGTGGACACCTCCACGTGTGCCCTCAATACTCGTAGACAAGTGAGTAACGTCCCTGACGTACTCTTCCTGCTCAGTGCGTCGGCCACTACATTGGCCTTTCCGGGATGATAGTCGATGATCAAGTCATAGTCCTTGATCAACTCCATCCATCTCCCCTGCCTCATATTCAACTCTTTCTGAGTGAATACATACTTTAAACTCTTATGATCAGTATAAATGTGACACGTCTCCCCGTAGAGATAATGCCTCCAAATCTTCAATGGAAACACTACCGCCCCGAACTCTAGATCGTGAGTAGGGTAGTTCACCTCGTGTTTCCTCAATTGCCTAGAAGCATAGACAATCACCTTACCGTTTTGCATTAGTACACACTCAAGCCCTTGGATGCTAGCATCACTGTAGATGTCATACCCTATCCCAAATATGGGTAGGGCAAGGACTGGTGCTTCGGTAAGTCGTTTCTTCAATTCAAGGAACCCCTTCTCACACTTGTCGTCCCATATGAACTTGGCCCCCTTCTTTGTGAGCTTCGTTAATGGAGACGCCAATACAGAGAATTTTTCAACAAATTTACGATAGTATCCCGCTAAGCCAAGGAAACTACGTATCTCTTTCACATTCTTGGGTCTCTCCCAATCCGTAATAGCTTTAGTCTTGGCGTTATCCACGGCAACCCCCGAACCGGATATGACATGACCGAGGAAACCAATTTCTTTGAGCCAAAATTCGCATTTAGAGAACTTGGCAAAGAGTTGCTTTTCCCTTAGCCGATCAAGTACAAGCCTCAAATGATGTTCGTGCTCTTCCTCGCTCTTGGAGTATATCAAGATGTCATCAATGAATACTATCACAAATTGATCTAAGTATTCACTAAACACACGGTTCATCAAGTCCATGAATGCCGCCGGTGCGTTAGTTAAACCGAACGACACCACAAGGAATTCGTAATGACCATATCTAGTGCGAAATGCACTCTTAGGTATGTCACTCTCCTTGATCTTCAACTGATGATACCCCGACCCCAAGTTAATTTTCGAGAACACTATTGCCCCTCGAAGTTGATCGAACAAGTCATCAAACCTCGGTAAGGGATACCTGTTTTTGATGGTGACCTTGTTCAATTGTCGGTAGTCGATACACATTCTTAGCGTACCATCTTTCTTCTTTACGAAGAGTACGGGTGCTCCCCACGGTGAATGACTGGGTCTGATGAACCCGTTGTCCAGTAATTCTTGTAGTTGGACCTTCAACTCTTGGAGTTGGCTGGCGCCATTCGATAAGGAGGAATCGAAATGGGTTTGGTTCCCGGCTCCACTTCAATTACAAACTCTATCTCTCTATCGGGTGGAAGCCCCGGTAGGTCTTTGGGAAAGACATCCGGGTATTTGCATACGACCCGTACATCTTTGATGTCGACTTCCTTCTTGGTATCGTCCACCACGTAGGCAAGGTATGTGTGGCATCCCTTCCTCATCATCTTCCGTGCTCTCATCACGGATATGATACATGCATGGGACTTCCCCTGATCTCCTTCAAAACATAGCGTGTTCCCTTGATCATCCTCGAGCTCCAACACCTTGGTGTAGCAATCCACTCGAGCATGGTGTTTCTCGAGCCAATCCATTCCTAGGATTGCATCGAACTCCAACATGCTTAGAGGTATGAAATCACAAGTCAAATGTTGACCCGTCACTTCTACCTCACACGACGGATAGAAATGATTTCTCTCCACATCGTCTCCAAACGGTGTGGAGACTAGCAACGTTTGCGTCATAGGTGTCAATGGCACGTCAAGGCCCTCGGCGAACGCCTCACTCACAAATGTGCGCTGTGCCCCGGTATCGATGAGGATCCTCGCACACCTACCATTGATCTTTAATGTTCCTACATTTATACACATGTAAGATACCTTTTCTAATGTTTTTACACATCTTTAGGAGGTTATTAGGTTCATACTAATGTTTGGAATCAAACGGGGGTCCAAACGTAGAAGAACGGGGCGAAAAAAATCAAGTTTCGGGTGCCAGGGGTCCACGCACGGCGTGCGTAGGGGGTACGCACGGTCGTGCGTACCTTGCCTTCCCAATGGAGGCTACTGCCCCCAACGCACGGAAGGACGCACGAGCAACGCACGGCCGGGCGTGCAGCGATTTCCTCCGGGGTGCTACTGCCACCAACGCACGGAGGTACGCACGGGCAACGCACGGCCGGGCGTGCAGCGATTTGCTCCGGGGTGCTACTTCCACCAACGCACGGAGGTACGCACGGACAACGCACGGCCGTGCGTGCAGCCCAGCCTGTAGTGCGTTGGCAGAAATCAGCCCGATTTCGCCCAATTTCGCCCAATTTCGCTCCGTTTGATCCCGGGGTGGCCCGAACTCAACCCCCAACGGTGTATATGATCAAAATAAGCCTAGAAATACATGGAAATAAGTGTATTACCTGCGACGGAGTCTAGGTTTGCCCGCGCATCCGCCTCGGTCATCGCGTAGTCTCGTGCTTGGGCCCCGCCTTGATTGACGGACGTAGCGTTGCTCGCCGTTGGTTCCGTATGGTTTCCTTCCACGGTGAGCCCTTCCTTGGCTTGCGATGTCTCTCGTTGCCTCCTCCATGGGCAACTTAATTTCATGTGGGTTGTGCTCCCACATTCGTAGCACATCGGGGGCTCGTTGCACTTTCCGAAATGTTTCTTAGAGCAATTCGAACATTTGGATGGTCTGAAAGAGTAAGGAAAGGACGTATGCCACCTTGAGGTCCTTTTCTTTTTCACCGGTGATGCCGGTGCCGTAAGAGTGCTTTCTCCTCCTTGGTCGTTTGCCCAAGGATGGGTTTGGCTGACAGTCATATCACGTTGGGAGGTGGCCCGATCTCGCCTCGCCTGACGCCTACGTTCGTTCCTCCTGGTGTTCATGTTACACATCGAGCCCACTTGATTAGCGCTTGCCGCTTGGCGGCCCTCACGGCCCCCATGCCCTATTCCTCTCCCCGTAAAGGCTCGTGACACAGCCCGGCTAGCCTCAAGGTAAGCTACCGACGCTTGTCCCTTAGGGTCATTCCTTGTTGCCATTCGCTTACCCTCCATTTCTGAAACGGAATTTGGACGAGTCTTTAGACTCCTATGAATGTCAATTAACGGAAAAACGTTATAGACACGTATTGACCCAAGTCACCACCATACCAATTGTTAAGGGTACCGTCTTAACAATTAGAGGCCTTGCAACTTAAGCACCAATAGTCCTATAAACGTCAAAATACAATGCTCATGGTTTTCGGTAAAAACTCTTTTGTAAAATCTTTTGTGAGAGGTTGATTATATAGTTTAGAACTGAGATGGCTCTGATACCACTTATTTGTCACGCCCCAGACCGCAATCCAAGCGCGTGTACAACCGCCGTGAAATCAAGTGATGTCACCCGCGAGTAGGGGTGGGTTCGGTTGCTTCGGTTCGGTTTTCACCTAAAACCGAACACAGAACCAAAGGGAAATGTTCGGTTCGGTTCGGTTTATTTGATAAAAAACTTCAACCACGGTTTGTTTGGTTCGGTTGGTTTCGGTTCGGTTTCGGTTTTTTTCGGTTTTTTTAAAAACCAAATGTTCATTTTTGAAAATGAGAGAAAACATCCAGGCATGAAAATATTACAACTTCATCTAATCTAATAAATGTCAATGCATTAACATTGTAGGCCAGTAAACTAAACAATGAACACCAAAAATAGGAATGCACTCTTAAAAATAAATAAACACTTGGAATGCAGGAAGTTAAACTGCAAATCTGTCATGCCTTAGAATTAAAAACCTAGTTCAGAAAATATAACAACTTCATCATCTAATAAATGTCAATGCATTAAAATTGCAGACCTGTAAACTAAACCATGAACACCAAAACTAGGAATCCACTCTTTTAAAAATAACTAAAAACTTGGAACAAAGGAAGTTAAACTGCCAATCTGCCATGCCTCAGAATTAAAAACCTAGTGCAAATTTCAGCATTTCAACCCTTAAAAACCTTCAAGAAACTCAGAACTTCAGGAACAATTAGTACTGAGAATCAGTAGATAAAAAAACAGTAAAAACATGAGTCATGAGCTCCCATTCCACCCTTCCAAACTGCAAAGTACCAAACAACAGAAGAAACATATTTTTCAACCAAAATAAGTGCAGATGATACAAGATAACTGAAACATTTTCAGTCTTCAATTGCGAATCAGTCCACACTTTGAACTCCAAAAAAATCCATGCTCCAAGTCTCCAATCCACTTGATTCTACTTCCTAGTCCTGGGAGGCAACTTGGTACTCTCTGCTCTTTGTCCACTTAAAAGTTCTACACACAAACAGCAATAGGACAGAAAACATTAGAAAAATGTAAACAATTAAATGCCCTAAGAAAAAAAATATATAATAATTAGCACGAAAAAAACAATACATTTACCTTTCTCAATTTCTTCACAAAATTCCATCTCTTCAATGGTTGGCTCATGATGTAATGCAACATGAGTACTCGTAAGCCAATTTTGTGTACAAATCAATGCTTCAACCATTTTGGGACTTAGTGAGCTACGGAATGGATCGATTACCCGACCACTAGTGCTAAAACATGACTCAGAAGCAATTGTAGACACTGGAATTGCAAGAATATCTCTAGCAATATATGCCAAAATGGGGTATTTACAAACCCCATTTACTCTCCACCAATTGAGGATGTCAAAATCAGAATTGTCATCCCCTTCAATGGAATCTAACAGATACCTATCAACATCATTATTGATACTACCAGCTTTTTTAGCTCTTCTTCGTTGCTCTTTTTCTGCCAATTTAATTTCAACTTGCGTCATGGTTGATGGAGTGTTCACCACTGCCACCGTGGAAGTATTAACATCGTCCCCAACACTTGATTGTGATATTTGGGAAGACAAAGAAGCACTGCTCATATACATACTCTGAAGATCATATAAAAATGCTTTCACACTAGCAATGGCAGGTTCAACCCTTTTATCACCCTCCCCATGAATCAATTCCAAATAATCTTCAACTTTTTCCAGTTTATGACGTGGATCAAGAACCATAGCAACCAACAAGTATTCATTCACCTTATCTATACTTCCCCAATACTTATCATATTTAGCTTGCATGGGTGTTGAAATAGAAGATAGCAGTGAACTTCCGGTTTCTTTTAACAAACCTTGAATTTTAACCAAGTCTCCAAAAACAGTATGAACAGTTGGTGTGTTTGAACAACATACCTTCAAAGTAACTTCATAGAAAGGTCTCAAGAAATTAGCAAACACTTCGGCCTTCTGCCAATCATCATCAAATGGAGGCCCTTCTCTTATCTTTTCTTGTTTTTCTCCAATAAAATATCCAAGATAATGACCGTCATCCTCTATCAACCTGTCAAAAGCCTTGCGAAACTTCAAAGCAGCTTGTAACATTAGAAATGTAGAATTCCACCTAGTAGGGACGTCCATGATCACAAGCCCTTTACTCTCTATTTTAACTCTTTCCACACAATTCCTAAACATTTCTAACCTTTGGGGAGAAGATCTTGCATATCTAACAGCATTACGGATGCTTTGAATGCATTTATTCAACAATCCTAATCCATCATTCACGATCAAGTTCAAGATATGAGCAACACATCTCATATGCAAGTTTTTTCCCTCATGCAAAAGTACATTTTCAACTCTCCAAGAACTTATTCTCTTGATCAAATCTTTCAACCCAACATCATTAGAAGAAGCATTATCAACGGTAATAGTTAAAATCTTTTCTATACCCCACTCTACTAAACATTCCTCCAAAAGTTTAGCAACAGATTCACCCTTGTGGTTTGGAATCACACAAAAATTCAAAATTCTCTTATGCAACATCCAATTACGATCAATAAAATGAGCTGTGAGTACCATGTAGTTAATGTTTTGGATCGAGGTCCAAGTATCTGTTGTGAGACACACCCTATATGAACTCAAATCACTTTTCAGTTTAGTCTTTTCTGAATAAAACAGATTAAGCACATCTCTAGCAATAGTTTTACGACTAGGAACTTTCCAGTGAGGGCATGCAACCCTACAAAAATAGCGAAAGCCTTCTCCTTCTACGTGACTAAAAGGCAACTCATCTAGAACTACCATTTGAACACATGCCTTAGTAATTTCTTCTTGAGTACATCCTATAACAACTAAATCCTTGGACTTGCCATAAGTAAACACTTTTTGTCTTTTACTCCGCAGTTCTTTATTTGGAGGGTACTCATTGCATTTTTCCAAATGATTTATCAATGCAGTTGTACCATTTATTTTTGGGTGAGCTGCAAAACCCTTATGCTTGCAATAATGACAAAAAGCTTTAATCTTACCAAGCTCAAATCTCCTCGTGAAATGCCCCCAGATTGCTGCCCTCTCATTTTTTTTCAATGATTCCAAGTACTCTTCCTCCGTCATTCCACCCAAGTCTATGGTTTCACTAACATTCCCACTCAAATTATTGTCAGATCTGTCTGAGTCCTTTGCTGGTACATGAGGATTAGATGACGGTGTTTCATTAACACTATCATCCTGGCCAGCCCCCTTCATAAGAAACAAATAATAAAATTAAGGTTTGAATTATTACAAATTTTTTCTAAGCAAGATTTTCTCATAATAAAATAAACACTAACAATATCAGAACACTAACAATAAAGTTTCATATATTTCACTTTCCTGGTCTTACATGCTGCAATACAAGAGAAATGATCAAAATAATGGCTTAGTCTGATTTGTTATATATACATATAAGAGATAAGAAAATGATCAAACCAATACAAGAGTATATGCATATACTTTTTTATATACACATGTACCTCACAATCAGATGTTGTTGTGTTCAGCTTATTAGAAGCAGTTGATCCCTTGGAAGTTAAGGAAGATCTGGACCTCTTCATAGCTTATTATCTTTCAATAAGAGTCTCACTGCATAAATTAAACTTCATTAAGTTTTTCATTTGATTCAATAAAATAATAGAAAGTATTGCAGGTAAAGAAAATTATCAACTCATAGTCTCATACTGTCTCACATTCACACAAAATAATATAATGTTAAAAACATCTATTGACATAATGAAATGTTGTTATTAATAAACTAAGAGTATTAATATAAAAAGGTATAAAAAGTTGTTATTAATACTATCGCTTTTATTTTCTAAACACCAGTAAAAAACGAACTGGAATGAACTTTAAAAAACAAAGGCAGTCTGCTTTAGAGTTATGTCCTGGCAGTTCTGCAGATGCTCCTTGTTCAAAGGAATATTACTTTTTAGCAAAGGTCTTGAACAAATAGTACTCCATTAATCAATTCCTAGATAGTTTATGCCTCATCTCGTTTTTGAAAAAAAGCAAATGTATGTCCAATAAAGTAATAAACTGAGGGAAAAGATACAGACCTGATTTCCCGTTGTAATTACAGCATACGGACCACTGCTGTGCGTATCTCTGACGGCAAGATTGATGCCTATGCGAACCACAACTGCGAATTGATGGGGAGAAGTTCAGTTTTTCCTGAGTTCATGAGTTCATCTCATCGTCCATAGAACTGCTCAGCTGTGAATTGATGGAAATTGGAAGTCAGGATTCGTAGGGTAGAAGCGTATGACCTAATGAGTATGCTGTATCATGTCTAGGGTGAAGGTCTTGCGATCTTACCAGACTCGAGTAACAAATTAGTAACCCAGTAATTCACTAAGCCCATTGTCGGATGGCCCATATCTAAAAAATGAAATACTTTCAAATGTTTCGGTTTTTCGGTTCGGTTCGGTTCTGGAGAGCCAGAACCGAAACCGAAACCGAATAGAAACGGTTCGGTTCGGTTTTTCCCTTCGGTTTCGGTTTTTTCTCGATTCGGTTGCTTTTGGCTACGGTTCGGTTATTTTTTGATTCGGTTTCGGTTTTCGGTTTTCCGGACCCAGCCCTACCCGCGAGTCAACCTCACTTGATTACACAAGGCGTTCGAGAAAAATAATCCATCCATACTCAGTAGTAAACATACATAACAACATCACATTTAAACCAATGAATAGCGGAAATATTCAACGGTAAGTCATAAGCCACAACCGGCCAATAACATGGGCATGCAAGCCCCAAAAGAATAGTTTATAACAAATAAAAATATCCATGAGCAATGTTTGGTAATTTGAAATAAAATGAGGAAGCACGAACCACGTCTTCCTTGATTTGATGTCACCCGTAGGAAGGTGCAGGTAGCAAGCCCTAGCTTCAACCTGAGAATGGTGGGGCCCCCCGAAGGGGTCAGTACAAGTACCGAGCGAGTAGCAGGCTAAATATAGAATAACTAGCGTTTCAAGTATAAGACCCAAACATAGGATGATACATATACGTATAGTCCTTCCCCCAAGTTTGAAATACATATTAGTATACATACACTTGGAAATACCCGACCCGTAGGTCATTGTTTATTTGGGAAAATAATAGTAGCCAATATCCTTGACTTAAATCCCAACCCACCCATATACCTATGAGTGTATAGAACTCCTCCTTGTTCAAATAAATTATCATAAGGACACCGTCCGGTCCTAGATCATTAAATGTAGCCTATGAGTTTTGAGGATACACGCCCGATCCTTGGGTACTCCACCCTATAACCGAGTTTTGAGGATAACCGCCCGATCCTTGGGTACTCCACCCTATATAACCGAGTTTTGAGGATAACCGCCCGATCCTTGGGTACTCCACCCTATATAACCGAGTTTTGAGGATAACCGCCCGATCCTTGGGTACTCCACCCTATATAACCGAGTTTTGAGGATAACCGCCCGATCCTTGGGTACTCCACCCTATATAACCGAGTTTTGAGGATAACCGCCCGATCCTTGGGTACTCCACCCTATATAACCGAGTTTTGAGGATAACCGCCCGATCCTTGGGTACTCCACCCTATATAACCGAGTTTTGAGGATAACCGCCCGATCCTTGGGTACTCCACCCTATACAACCGAGTTTTGAGGATAACCGCCCGATCCTTGGGTACTCCACCCGACCTATGACTTACCTCATATCACACTAGATAGGGTCTATATCATATTTAGCCATTCATAACTAATCCAATACATAAAACTTATGTATCACATTCCATGCAAAGCCATGCAATTATGTAAATGTACAATTAATTAATATCGACCGGTATTAATTAATCCATCATCCACCGGTCAACGTGGTCGTTGACCGCCATTTCAAACCTTGTACAAATCAACTTAATCATCGCATAATTAAGTTAAAATATTCATTTGTGCTTCTAATACACTTCAAGCAAATATGCATTTTATATAATTCTTCATATCATATTCTATGCATAAACAATCTATTTCTTTCATACAAACTTAACCCTATTGGCTAATCACATGTTTAAATATCTTTTAAACATCATTATGAATTCATATAACATTTATTTAGGTAATCTTATAATTAACCCAAAAGTTATAAGATATTAAGCCGTCCACTCACCTTGAACTAGCGTTATGAAGTTCTACCCTTCTTGGTTGAACTCCGGTGAAACTCCGGCGACTTTTGGTCAACTCCGGCGACAACTCCAGCGACTTTTCCAACTTTTTGAAACCACTTGAAATACCCTTTACAAGTGCCTAACAAGGTTTAATAATCATAAAACTCATATTAATACAAATAACCTCTAAAAGGTTATTTTCCGGTGAACCGGTAGTTTTGGTCTCTAAGTCCATTCTTGGACATAGAACCATCTTCCTACCCATAAATCCATACTTATAACATGTGGAACCATACTAGGGGTCCTTCACATGATATATACCTCATATGGTAGAAGAAAAATAAAGGAGAAGTTATAATAAGGTCATTACCTTAATTATTCACACTTTTCCCAACTTTTTCCCTCTTTAATCTTCCTTCTTGGAACCCTATGGCTTGAGCTCGAATTTTGGCTATGGAAGATGAGTTTGCAGAGGTCTCCTGGTTCTCTTGGTGTGCCTTGGCCGAAATTATGGGGTGGGTGAGTGAGGAGATAGCCTCTTTGGCTTTTCTCTCAAAATAATGTGGGAATGGGTCCTCCCCATTGTACTTTTGATGCCAAATGCATCTCCTCCTCATTTCCTCTTGTCAACCCAGCTCTCAATTGATGTGTTTAGCACATAAAAACGTGGGGTGGCCCCCACTCATGTGGGAGGTCATCCCTTTGTGTCCCGATGTGTACAATCGGTCCCGAAAGTTGTATTTTTCGGACTGTTTTAAATATATTTTATTTTATCGGGTCCAATAAAATATATTACGTGTTCTCAATCGTAATGGCCTTTTGAAATAATATGTATTCCAAAACATTAATTTAGAAGTCTCCGAAATTCATTTTCGGGCTGTTATCTGTTAAATTGTCGGTACCGGTATTTGGGCCTCTTTTGCCCAATCGGTCAACTCTGGGCCTTTTCACGACCCAAATAAAATATCCACCACTATATAAATATTATTTCGACCCATAAGAATGATTTATGTGATCTCGGGAATATCGGGTGGCCCCTCGCTCCCGGTGTGGGTCCCACGTGCAATTTACTATTCACGCGAAAGAAATAATAAAAATTTACAACTTCGTAAATTCATTAATCCTTTAATAAGGTTCAATACATTATTTACATGAACGTAAATATATTTGGGGACGGTGTTACACTTGACCGAAGACAACCCGACGTGCTGAAGAACACTAGAACGTGGTAAATATTTGATTCGGACCGGTACCCGGTCGGGTAGATACTCTACCCGGTCGGGTACCCGGCCAAAGGTGTTGAAAAACACCTATAAATAGCACACTTTTCCTTCACTAAAGGATATCCCTTCTTCCATACTCTTAAACTCAGTTTAGAATAGTATTTCTTTTATATTTTTATAGCATGTTTAGTCTCCAAATGAGGAGCTAAACTCTTCCATCTTGGTTTTGCTACTTTGAAGCTTAATGAATTTGTAAGTTGTGAGTTATTATCTTTAATCTTCTTCCTTGAATATTAATTCTTCTTTTAAATACTATTTCTATATCAATGTTGGGAGTGTTACTAAGATGACAATTAGTTAACATCTTGACATTAGTTATAGTAATAATTATTTCTTCCTCTACGTTAATATTGGGGAGTGTTACTAAGATGACAATTAGTTAACATCTTGATATTAACTATAGTAGGATTCATCTTCTTTAATATTCTTTCTTGAGTATTAATTAATTCCTATTCATACTTCATATTAATATTTTGAACATTACTTAAAGGATCAACTAGTTTTGTTTCATATATTAATTAATACTAGAATCGGTCGATTAATACGCTTGTTATTAATTCGGTCCTTTCATGGTAGTAAACTTGGATTATTAATGCATGCATCTCATGGTTAATAATCTAAGGGGAATTAATTATATTGATTAAACCAATAAACCGCTTATGTTCAGGTTATCAATCTCAATCGTTTTCATCTTGATTTTATTGCTACTATCAAGTTAATATACGGCGCTTGTTCTATATTGACTCGGTAGTAAGTTTTATTAATGAACGCGTCTCGTTATTAATAACTACCCTCGATGAACTGGATATACTCCTCGATTGAGTATTCGAGAGGAAGATAGTTAAAGATATAACCGGGATCGACGAACATTTCATTAAGTGGATAAAAGCAAAGCCAAGTCTTCTTCTCATTAATTAAACCACATAACTCGTTCATCTTCGTGTTTAATTTATTAAACCAAATCAAACTAAAAACCCCCATTTTGTTACTAGTTCTATAAAAAGAGAATTAGTCCTTTCCCTGTGGATACGAACCTTACTACGCTATACTACGTATAAGTGTTGTATTATATTATTATTTTGAGTGCACATCACGACAAGTGCACGTCAGTGGAGCATTCTCATGTGCATTCAAATGACAATGAATCGCATGATGAGAGTGCGGATTCTAGTGAGAATGATTTGCATGATTATCAACTTGCTAGAGATAGAAGTAGGAGAATAATTAGGAGAACTGCTGATAGTATGCTTGATTATGCTTTCCATATGTGTGATACTTCTATGTTTGCTTTCTCTATGTTTGAAACCCTTGAGCTTAACGAACCTAGAACCTATAGAGAGGCCCTTAAGTCTAATGAGTCCGCTAAATGGCTTTGCGCCATGGAAAGTGAGATGGAGTCACTTAGAGCGAATAAGACTTGGACGTTAGTTCCTAGACCGCCCAATAGTTCTGTTGTTGCCTGTAAGTGGCTATTTAAGGTTATGGAAGAGCCTAACGACATTAGATATAAGGCTAGGTTAGTAGCTAAGGGATTTACTCAAAAGGAAGGTGTTGATTATGCTGAAATCTTTGCTCCTGTAGTTAAATTTACTACGATTCGTATGATGCTTTCTCTTGTTGCTCATAATGATTGGAAAATGAAGCAAATGGACGTCACCACTGCGTTCTTGCATGGTGATTTAGACAAGAAAATCTATATGTCCCAGCCTGAGGGCTTTGTGGATCCCATGAAGAGTGATCATGTGTGTTTGCTTAGGAAGGCCTTGTACGGCCTGAAGCAGTCCCCGAGGTAGTGGAATATCAAATTTGACCAATGCATGTCATCTTTGAAATTTCACAAGTTCGAATGCGACCATTGCCTATACTTTAAAAATACTTCTTCTGTGCCTGTATTTTTATTGCTATATGTGGATGACATGTTGATTGTGAGTCCTTCGGGTGACGCCATTAAATGTGTGCAAAAGCGTCTCAGTGAGAACTTTGCTATGAAAGACCTAGGTGATGCGTGTGTTAGTTCTCAATCAGATTTCATACATTGAAAAGATTTTGAGTAAATATAACATGCATTCTGCTACTCCCGTTTCTATCCCGATGGCGTCTCACTTTGTGTTAAGTAAGGATCAGTCTCCTAAGACTGCTCCTGAAATTGCTAAAATGAAATCTGTGCCTTATTCCAATGCTATTGGGTCCGTGATGTATCTCATGGTGAGTACTAGACCCGACATTGCCTATGCTGTTAGTTGCTTGAGTAGGTATATGTCTAATCCTGGTTTAGATCATTGGAATGCTCTTAAGTGGTTGCTTAGGTATTTGAAATCTTCTGTTAATCATGGGTTGGTTTTCACTAGGTGTTCTGAGGGGGTTAAGTTGAGTGGGTATGTGGATTCTAATTTTGCTAATGATAGAGACAATAGGAAATCCACTACCTCTTATGTGTTTACTCTTTGTGGGTCGTGCATTAGTTAGAAATCTCAACTTCAACCCATAGTTGCCCTATCCACCACTGAGTCGGAGTATGTGGCCGCTACCAAAGCGTTTAAGGAAGCCATTTGGCTTAAACGTCTCCTAACGGAGATTGGTAGTCTTAAGCAGGACATTTGTGTGTTTTCTGATAGTCAATCTGCTATTCAATTTTGTAAAAACCCTGTTTTTCATGATAGAACTAAGCACATTGATGTTAGATTTCATTTTATACGTGATTTGTTAGTGCAGGTCATATCAAGTTGATTAAAATTCCGTCGGAATTTAATCCTGCTGACATGGGGACTAAATGTCTCTCTGTCGAAAAGTTGCTGTCGTGCAAACGCACGTTAAACATTGATTGCGGGTAAGTTGCCTGGTGATCATACCCCTTTTGCCTAAATATGTCTTTGTGATTATTCGGGCAATCCAGCGATGATGAGTCTCAAATTGTTTTAGAGCGTAATGCTCTACACTACTAGGGTCCAATAAGGTGGAGAATTTGTTGGTATTGGCCCGGTTCACTTCATAAGCCCAAAAATTAGTTCAATTGTACCCGGCCCGTTCCTTTTGGTTGAACTCTCGTTGATGGCCTTCCTCCTTCTCGATTACTTTCCTTCTGGCGAGATCTTTTTCTTCCTTGGCCGATTCAGTGGTATCAGAGCCAGTTACTGTTCGCCGCTGCCTGCCGCTGCCTCGCCGCCGTACGTCGTCGCCAGAGGTCCTGTAGTGCTGCCGTCGTCGGTCCTGGTGCTCCAGCGTCGGCCCAGAGGGTTCCAGCAGTCCAAGGTGTTGTCCAGAAGCTGTCCAGACCTGCTGCCGCTGCTTGGGAGACTCTGCCGCCAGTCTGCCGCTAGTTCAGTCCGTTGCCGCCAGTCCAGTCCATTGTCGTCGTGCTCTACAGCAGCCCACGCTGCCTACGGTAAGTCGGGTAACCCAACCTCGGGCCCCGCTCAGGTAAATTGGCTTTAACATCCTTGGTGTACCGGAGTGCCACCGGATTTATTTTTCCCCCGCTCCCCCGCTGCTGACCTGCGTGGTCTTGGATGCCGGCTGTGTCCGGCCCCTGCTACGTTTACTAATCCTTTGTGTGATTTTTATTCGTAGTTCATTCATTTTTAATTTCAAGTTGAATTGCTATTTACTTGTTAGTTGAATTGTGATTACTTGTTGAATCGTGAATTAATTTTTCCGGTGAAGAATGTTTTGTTTGGATACTCGTTGTCCAAAGTTGTGAATATTTCTTCCGGTTTAAATTTAATCACGTGTTGGATTTTTATTTTGATTTTTTCTGTTGATTGATTCGTGGATAAACTCTCCGGTTAAGAATATTTGTTTGGATACTTGTTGTCCGAAGTTGGGAATATTTCTGTCCGGATTAGTTTTAAATCCCGTTTCTTTGCTTGTTGATTTAATTATAGCCTATTTGTGCTTGTACGAAAGAACAAGGAGATTGTACCCGAGCTTTGTGTTCATTGGTCTTCTCGGCTTGTTCGTGCTAGTTGCTTCGTACAATTGATAGTCCTATAGGTTATAATTAATCATTATCTGTCTGTTGAGTAAATAAAAAATTTAACTGTGCTTGTACGAAAGAACAAGGAGATTGTACCCGAGCCTTGTGTTCATTGGTCTTCTCGACTTGTTCGTGCTAGTTGCTTCGTACGGTACGAAAGAACAAGGAGATTGTACCCGAGCTTTGTGTTCATTGGTCTTCTCGGCTTGTTCGTGCTAGTTGCTTCGTACCGGTTGATAGCCTGATAAATTTT